CSWTYCMMMWTWWTWMMAAWWAMYTYMWTTYYKGRMMWTTWWKGTTTGATTTCTTTGTATGTATGGATCACTTGGGTTGTTACCGACATCTGGTGAAAATTTCATGTCATTAGCACCTCTAGTAATATATATACTGAGAAAAATGTTGACGTGTTCAATACTTATTTTACCCGCTGTAGCTGCGTAAAAACTTTTTATTTACAAATTAATTAAAAGATGTCAACAACAGAACACTTGTCTGTCCAGCCTTATGTTGGAGCCAGAGTCTGACAGTAATCGTTCAGAAAACATCATAGAAAATAGAGAAGTTGTATTCATTTGTGGTTAAGCATAGCAATGAGGCCTTTATAATACATGTGAAAAACCCAAGCTTGACTCTGTGGATCTCGGTGCTGCAGCTGGCAGAGCATCTGACTCCTCTGGACGTGTTCCTGGGTCTGATGGCAGCAGCAGCTCACGACGTCGATCACCCCGGAGTCAACCAGCCTTTTCTCATCAAGACCCGGCACCACCTGGCATCCCTCTACCAGGTACACACGAGCACCCTGACGGGGGAGTCGGTGTGTGTGTGTGTGTGTGTGTGTGTGGTCGTGGTCGTGGTCGAACCTGTACTGTGTTTTGATCGTCACTCATTCCGTGCAGAACACATCGGTGCTGGAGAGTCACCACTGGAGATCCACCGTGGGCATGCTGCGGGAGTCAGGGCTGCTGTCCCACCTGCCAGCTGACATGTCGTAAGAACACACACGAACCTGCACATGTAGTACCTGTGGCATCTTCCTGGCCGTGGATGAGTTCTCAGGTTTATTTATCCCATCCTGTTGGAAGATAACTGCAGGATGTCGTGTTCAACGTGGTGTCACAGCCTGTCCTTGGACCATGTGAAACGTTTTGGATACGGTCCTCTGGAAATTCTGGTTTTGTTTGCATAAATTCAGATTAAAGCAAGAAGATGATTTACTTGGAGGGGGTTGGACTTCACAAAGTACCAATACAGTATATGTGACCCATCATCGAAATGAGGACCGAGTCTAAAAGTGGGATAAGAAATAGGCAGATGTAGCGTTTTGATTAAAACGTTTGCAAAAATAGCATTTTTTCAAAATTTAATGAATAAATGCCTTATCAATGTGTCATTTGAATGAACTGTCTGAAACATAATCCTAAAAGTTAAATTATAAAACATTTTTTTTGAGCAGGAGCAACAAAATAATACTGATTTTGAGGAAAAACGTCTTAAAAAGCAGTACAAATTTGAGATTTTTCCCTGTGCGCTGGCAATGTTTTTGTTTCTTTCCAGCTGAGAAATCTCAATATTCAAATAATATTTGAGATTTTCTCTTTAAAATGACATCAAAACATTCTCATTAAAGTTACATACAATTAGGTTTCAAACCACATGTTAATGTATCACCGTAACAAACAAGACAAAAAGTGAATCAGAATCAGAATCTGCTTATGATATCAGAATGATCCAGGTATCAAAATATAGCTTTTAAAGCCAGGAATCTGAAAATGTGATTAGTTCATTTTGACCAAATTTGACTTAATCCTCATTACGGTATGATGGGTCACATAAATCAAAGACAAGGAAGTCAGTTTTAACAAGAAATATGACCAAAAGTAACAAAAAAGATAGACAAATGGAAATAATTTTATTATGTGATGAGCGAATTTATGTTTAATAGTTTAGTACAATTAAAACAAGTCTAATTTAGTATTTCACTGCTATTTGTGTTTACAGCTTAGTCTTGACGTGAAGGCCAGAGGTCATTCATAAATAGATTAAGATAGATTAAGAAAATGTTGCTGGCTTGCAGTTTGGAGTCCAATTCATGTGTTTTGCCCCCCTCACCTCTGCAGGCAGGACATAGAACAGCAGCTGGGCTCCATCATCCTGGCTACAGACATCAGCCGGCAGAACGAGTTCCTGCTGCTGTTCAGAGAACATCTGGACAACCAGGACCTGGACCTTCAGCTGGCCTCTCACAGACACTTTATACTGCAGGTATCTGTCCTTTCCAGTTCCACCCAGTTGATGGACTAGATTTGCCTAAAATGCAGATCTGTATGTGTTGCACATATGTAAGATGTGTCCCTGTTTTTTTTGTTTTTTTTGTTTTTTTTTGCCATCAGATTGCTCTGAAATGTGCTGATGTGTGTAATCCATGCCGGGACTGGGAGCTGGGCAGGCAGTGGAGTGAGAGAGTGTGTGAGGAGTTCTACAGGCAGGGTGAGAAGACATCTACAAGTCAGTTTTCAAAGTTTCAATGAAATATAAACAATACAAACATACCATGTATATTTATTTAGCTTAAATACAAGTTGCATTTGAAGCATTGATGTCAAATCGGCTTTTAAAGCACCAGGAATGTTTCTTGTTCTGGTGAAAATGCAGCCAAAAAAACCTGAATGCTGGATGGTGCTTTTATTCTGAAAATTCAGCTTCAGCTTTTTAGTGCATAAAAGGACCTGCAAAAATTGAGTAGAAGCATGCGTGTCCACCACAGCAGAGACTGGATGTGCTTTTCTTTCACAAATCTCCACGCTCTTAAAAAAAATCATAAATTTATAAGAATCACTCTCTTATCATTAGAAAGCATTTCCTCTGATTACTTCTGGTACTAAATAAAAAAAAAAGTTTGATTAGCCAAAAAAAAAACAGATTGTACTCACCTTTTTTCTTTCTCCTGTCTCAAGCTGTGTTTAATAAACAAAAGAGCAATGATGCGTTTACTGTTTTCTCCTCGAGGTGATGTTTCTTGCTGTTTTTGTACTTTGTCTTTTCTGCGTATTTGATTCCAAAATACATGTTCAACTCAGCACTTCAGTCTGTCTTAAATAGGTCCAAAAGGAATTTATTTATTACTGTATTCTGGTAGTCTGAGCCTCAACAATAAGCACAAATAAATTTAATAAATAGAAATCATTTGATCAGTATGACATGCTTCGTTCTTTGCCGTTTCAAAATAAAATGAGGGGGGAAAAAAAGAATAATCAGGTGTTTCTTCAATTTTTATTGTTTTAAATTTAAATAAAAAAATCAATTGTAAAACTAAAATGTGAAATCAAACTAATTCAAAATCTACAGTGTTGGATTTTTGCTTCCATTATTTAAATCCAAAATAAAATCTACGGTTGTTTGATACCGGAAACGACTGAAGTCGAGTTTATAATGGCTGCAAAACAGAAATCGTTCCTAAACATCTTGGCAATAACTCAAACCTGATTCTGCAGAACTTAGAATATTAAAGCAGTTTTGTTCACAATAAAATTGGTCTCAAGTTGCAGCAACTTCTTCTAAATAAGGCCACTTCTAAAGTGCTACGTGAAAACGTAACTTAACCATGATGATTTCTGGTTCCGCCAGAAAGTAACAAATGCTGCGCTAGCAAAAAATTTTTTAAAAGATGAAAAAGAGTAACCTTTTTTAATTTAGCTTTTGTGGTTTTTCTAATTAAGTTAAAAAAAAACCCACCTGCTTATTCATTTTTTAAAAATTGTTTTATTTTGAAATAAAAAACAAAAGATTGTGCTCGGGTTAAACAGCACAGTTGTTTTCTTTTTTGCGATTTTAGTTTTGAAGAAGAAAAAACAATGAATGAAATGATACTAAAGATCCTAAAGACACTATTTTTTAAAACTCTATTTAGTTATTTTTCTTTTTTTAACACATCAATTGAAAGATTTTCTTTTTCTGAGAAATAAAAAAAAAATGAAGCATGTTTTGATGTGTGGCTTTGTGCTTTTGTTGTTGTAATTCTGTGCTGAACCGGCAGGTGACCTCGAGAGGAAGTTGAACTTGGAGATTAGTCCTCTGTGTGACAGACAGACAGACTCTGTTCCAGCTGTCCAAATCGGTGAGTTATAAACAACACACACACACACACACACACACACASACACACACACACACACACACACACAAAACAATCATTTATCAAGACTCATCCGGACCCCATCAAGAGGACACATTGCGTAACAGAGAACGACTTGTTTTCAGGTTTCATCTCGTACATCGTGGAGCCTCTGTTCGACGAGTGGCAGCGCTTCACCGAGCCCAGCCTCCTCAGCCAGTTGATGATGAGCAACCTGCACAAGAACAAGGCCCGCTGGGGTCGTCTCCGATGCGTACACGCACCTGCAGAAACGCAAGCCGAGGAGCCTGAAGCTGAGGAAAGAGACGGAGGAGGGGAGGACATTCCTTAAACCGCTCCTTGCATTTCCCAGAGGTTTAATCATCCTTTATTCCGGGAGGAGAGGAGTGTTTATCCCTTTATTCCTCCCTCAGCTTGCTCAAAAGGCTCTGAGAGGAGGGGAGCCGTGGAAGGCAGCTCAGCCAGGATACGTGAAAAAACAGCTCCCTCTGCTGGAGCAGAGGAGGAACAACATATTTTTAAAAAATAAACGGAGAGATCCATTGTGAGGCAAAAAGATAATATCTTAGTAAAAAAAAAAAGCAAATACTGACATATCTGCTTCGAAAGAACAAATAAAAGATGTGTTAAAATGAAACGTTTATGGTTGTAAAAGATAACTAATGTAGTTTACACAGAACTGATAGAATAATAGAAAAAAGTAAAAGCCAAAAGTATTTACAAGTCAGCTGGACTGAGATGGAAAAGCTGTGGCATAATAATAAGAATATATAAATAAATATATCGACAATTCCTTTTTAAATGTTACAATGATACGTATTAATCTCTTTTCATTGTTTCTTGTTTTATGTTTTTGTTTTTTTGTAATGCTCGCACTCCTGTCAGGCTAGAAACGCGTTTTTAAAGCTTTTAGCACCAAGTTCTGGTCAGGTGCTGTCAACTGAACAGGACTGACTCAGCCCATCGGTGAGAAGCGACTGCAGATGAGAAGAGCCATAAAAAAAAAAGTTTAAAACGATAAGTTTGTTTGTGTAATAGTATAAGCTGTATAATCTGTACATACTGTGATGGACACCTCCAGCACTCCACATGCCAAAACTCGGAGCAGTGTTTTCATCCTCTCACCGGTGTTAACTCTGTCACAGCCAAACAAGCTCACCTACAACGAAGCCTTAACAGTGAAACGTGTTCTTGTTTAGTGTTTTCTGGACAAAAAAATAATTATAATTAAAAAAAGAAACAGTTTCTGCCTGTCGTTCCAGCCATATCCTGAAAGCCACACGGTTCTGTAGAAGCTTGTCTCCTGACTCCTCTGATTGTGTATCAGGGTCAGGTCGGGTCGGGGACCTGCGACGTTTTGCCAAGATGTTCATGTACTGTTATAAAAAAAACATCAGCTCACGTCTTTGTTACCTTTTTCTACTTCACTTTTTACGGCAGGCACTGTGTGCACTGTAGAAACTACAGCTGCCTCTTTGATTCTAATATATTTTATTCTGCACTTAATCTCAAAGTACATGCTACCTTTTACTAGAGGAAAAGATGGGACTGAAATCCTATTTATAAATGTTTATTGGCAGTGATCGCACTGAGGACGTGACTTCCTGCGGCAACTCTTTGCAAATACAAGTTGATCTTAACGGAAAATGTACAGTTTATATTTTGTCACTCTGCAAAAAAACAACAAAAAAAAACATTGTTCATTTTAATACGGTGTGATTGACACTGTGCAACAGGATTAACTAAACCAGCACTGAATATTATGTAAGATAATAAAAGGTTTTGTTTACAGTAAGTGTAACAAATTTGATTTTACTTGCAGAATTTGTTCTAAAATGACAAATTGTCAGCGTTCTGTCTTCACTGATCTAATTGTCAGAACGATTTTTTTTAATCTCTGCTTATAATTTCTGTCTTTATTTTATTTGGTGCTCACTGTTTTAATCACAGAATGTCTCAGAACACGTGTTGAACTTTCTCGCATTTCTAATTGTCTCTTTAAATACCAGAAAGTAACATGAAACACGCCGAATAGGTCTTTTTTTTCTTTCTTTTTTTTTCTTTTTTTTACAGCTTCCAGCCCTGAAAACAAACCTGTTTTTAACTCTTGACTTTAGCTTTAGAAAAATGCTACCTATAATGTTCTGGTTGATTATTGTTGAGTCATGTTTTACCTGTCAGTGTAGAGCTGGTACAGATAAACAGCTGAACTCTGAATAAACACTGTTACAGGGTAAAGGAGCCATAACTGGTTTTACGCAGTACTACAGGTATGTACTGTTGTGTACAAGCCTGAGTAATGTCAGCTTTTACTACACACATGTACCTTCACATCACACAGTCTGACTCTTTGGAAATAAAGATATTGTTACAGAAACATTTCCATGAATTACTGAAGTTTTTTATGTTAACTTAAATTCTGTTGAGACCATTTACCAATTAGCAGCTGTTTTTTTTTTTTTTTGTCACCTCATGTCAGATCTGTGGAAATGAGGTTTTGTGGAAAGATTTCTTATATATTTTTAAGCAAGCTCAGTTTAGAGAAGTTGAAATTTGACCAGGCTGATGAGCAAATGGCTAGTCACAGCAAGGCCAAGATTAAGGCGGACTGAATTCAATGAGTTGGTATTTAAACAGACACAAAAACCAGCAGAGCAGCAGCACTTTTAGCTACAGATAAAAGTGACAAAACTTTAAGCAGAACAGTAGAAGATGCACAGCAACAGCTGAAGGCAGCGCAACAGATGTTAAAATGAGCTAAATGCTAAAATTAGTAAGCTACATGAACCAGTGGCAGAAAAATATTCAACAACTGCTAAAAGCATAAGAAGTCTAAATCAGTTGTTTTGGTAAAAAAAAAAATCGATGTATTTCTGTGGGAATTTTTATTATAAAATGAAAAAAATATTTTTAACAGTATAAAAGTTGCAAAACAGGTCGAGCCGAACAATTTCATATAAAAAGCTCAATTCATACAGAATTTGTATTTCCTGTGACAATGCTGAGTGAAAGCTTCAAAATGAAAGATTTTTTTTTTCTGAAAGCTGCTGAAGAAGCTGAAAATGTTTAATAGCAAAGCTGTTAAAGGGAGTTAAACTTGAACAGACGACTTTTGTGGAAAGGACAAAGTAGCAGAAACAAGCAGACGATGGTGAACAGAAAGTAAAAAAAAGTTCATGTTGGCAGACAAACAAGAAAAAAAGAGTACAAAAGTTGCAATTTGTTGTAAAATAGCAGCCAAAATTAGCAGAAATAGCTTAAAAAGTAGCTGAAATTAGCACGTTGACACAGAAAGAGCAAGTTTGAGAATTAAGCAGTAAGAAGCAGATAAAATCACAAAAAGGGGAATTCATATGAAAAGGCTAAAATTAGCTGAAAGTAGCTACAAAATAGCTAAAAAGGAAGAAAACAGCTGAAATGATCAAAAATCAGCTAAAAGGCTAAAATTAACAGAAGACTATCTGAACATAATAGCTGAAAAAGCAGAAAACAGCTAAAATTAGAAAACGACATTTGTCCTGATGCATCTCAGTAATCCAGGTAAAAAATCAAAAAGAAAAAAATTGTACAGGTCTTCTGGACGGGTTCTTCTCTAATGAAACGTTTCGTCTCTCCTCCAAGAGACTTCTTCAGTCTGAGAGTTTCAGGCAAAATTCAGGCTTTTAAGCACTGCCTCCATGTGACTGATACTCACATCACATGGCTATAGTTGACACCTAATTAACACCTATTGTTAACAGGGGGTGGAGTGATACTGGCAATGGCCGCACTGTAGGAGGGGGACAACTGAAAACGGAGGCCTCCACCTCTGTTTAATGATGGATGGTCTTTCTTCACAAAAATGGCTTCTTTTACTCCTCTCTCAAACCAACGTTCCTCTCTATCAAGAATGAGAACATCCTCATCTCTGAAAGAGTGACCGCTGGCCTGTAAATGAGTGAAAACTGCAGAGTTCTGGCCATTAGACGTAGCTCGTCTGTGTTGGGACATTCTTTTGAACAGTGGCTGCTTTGTTTCCCCGATGTATAACTGGTCACAGTCCTCCTGGCACTTAACAGCATATACAACATTGCTCTGTTTGTGCCGGGGCACCGGATCTTTGGGGTGAACCAGACTTTGCCGTAATGTGTTTTGGGGTTTGAAAGCCACTGGGACATCATGTTTAGAAAATAAGCGTCTCAGTTTCTCCGAAACACCCGCAACATACGGAATAACCACTGGTTTGGGTCTGGGTTTGGGGTCTTCATTTTCACCTGAAGGTTGCATGGAATCCTGTCTGTGTTTCCTGTCTGCTTTCAGGAAAGCCCAGTCAGGATAACCACACTGCTCCAGGGCCTGTCGTGTGTGTGATTTCTCTTTCTGCCTGGCTCCTGGGTTTGTAGGGACACTGTCTGCTCTGTGGTACAGAGTCCTGATCACTCCTAACATGTGTTCCAGTGGGTGGTGGGAGTCAAAACGCAAATATTGGTCTGTGTGGGTGGGCTTACGATATACGCCAGTTTCCAACCGTCCTCCATCCGAAACCGAGACATCGCAATCCAGGAACGCCAACCTGCCATTTTTTACATCCTCTCGTGTGAACTTAATATATTCATCCACMGAGTTGATGTGATCAGTGAAATGTTGGACTTCCTGGGCTTTCATTTTAATCCAGGTGTCCATCCACAGGTGTCGTTAGAAAACGACATTGTTGAAGCACAAAGATGTTGAAAACAAGCAGAACCAGAACAAAAGGTAAAAAGTTCAGTAAAGATTTATAAATATTTTTAAAGGGATTTAGGGTGTTGAAGATCACTTCATCATTTTTCAATAAAAAAGAGAAGATAAATAGCTGTAAAAGTATAAGTTGCTGAAATACCAATAGTATATGTGAGAGAGTTTGATAGTAAATGTAAGAGAGTTTGATAGTATATGTGAGAGAGTTTGATAGTAAATGTGAGAGAGTTTGATAGGAAATGTGAGAGAGTTTGAATTTTATGGCCTAAACTAGCACCCAGGGCATAAATGAGCTGAACGTTCTGGTACATGTGTTGTTGAAATAGCAGAACAATTGTGGAACGAGTTAGATGCTGAAAAATGTAAAAGAAAAGAAAAAAGTATCATCTCGATGGTGTGAATGCTCAGTGGCGTTCGCATTATTAGTTTGCAACAAAACACACAAAAGAAACAATAAAAAGGTAAACAATGATGTGAAGCGTGACTCAGCATTCACACGGTCATTTTGTTCAGGGATGAGTCGAGTGTCAGGTGGATGGATGAATCATTTGACTTCACCTTTTTGATCACAGTAAACAAGGAAATGTTTTCATATTGAAGAAATTGTAGCACAGAACCACTAGATGGCAACAAAGCAGTTAGGGTGTGTGTTTGGGAGACACAGAGAGGGAGACCCACCTTACTCCACACCACTCCTGCATCCCTGGCTATCCAGGGGGAGTCTTCCTTTGCTGCTTTGTTTATAGTAAAAATAATACACAGGCGAGAACCAAAATGACGATTCCTGTGAGGCGACGGCGGCTCCGGGCCGCGAGCTTTTGAGTCAACAGAAAACTTTTGAATCTGATGAGGGCGCGGGGTGAAATCCCACAGCGTAAAGTCGTGTTTGGTTTTGTAGTTTACAGGGCAAACAACAGAGAGGATGGAGCGGCATGAGTCACACTGTTGACTCAGAAAACTGAGGCGGGAGGATGCTTTCAGGCAAAAAGAACCAGACTTTCACTTTAAAATGACAGAGGCACGGTTAAAAAACGAAAAAGAAGAAGTCTGAACATTTGAAGAAACTAAAGCAGATGTTGGGAGCAGATAGGTGATCCACATGGCCTGCCTGGCCCCTCATTTGCATGCCTTTGCATTGCAAATCGTAGAAGGCAGAGTCCACCTATAAATCCCATTACACCGTAGTGGTTAGCTTTTGTAAACTTGATCTTGTCCACAGAACCTGTTTCAAACACGAGCATACACCTGTCTGCAGAGACACTTCAGATTAGAAACAAAAGCTTTTTTTTATTAATCTGAAGATGCTTAGGGTAAAGAAGCTAATCTGCTCCGCTAATCGGAACTCTTTCATGCAGGTTATTTTACCATCCACTCCCACACCCACGCACACACACACACACACACGCCCAAACATTTCACTGGAGTCAAGTCAGCATTCATCCTGCATGTGTCACTGTAAATATTGACACTGCAAACAGAGCCCCCCCTTGCCCCCGCTTTAGACCCTTAAATGACTGTCATTTGGACTCTCCCTCTGTAAAAACATGCACAACCGCGTTGATAACCATCTCCAGCCCCAGAAGAAAGTGGAGGTAATCACACGGTCCCATCTCAGAAAGTGAAAAATGAAACTCGGGGCCTTCGTACAGTGTCTTCTTTCTCACTCTGTATGTCTGGCTTCTGCAGAGAAAGAGTTAATCTCTTCTTCTTAGTCATTATCCTGTGTTTGTTTTATTTGCGTCTTTGTATGGTCTGATCTCTTGCTCTGAATGAGACAATAGCAAAGTTAGTCTTCGTTGTCCTGTCCATCCCTTTTCTGCACAAAGGCACAAGTACAACAAGTGCGATGCAATTAGAGGGAAGGGTTTCCCTCCACAGCCCTGCACGCCTACTTCCATGCTGGATTACTCTGTACGTCAGCTTAAAGCGTGGATTAGCCCGTATGTTTTCAGTTTTATAAAAAGAAGAAGTAGCCTGCAGCCAAAGTGATTTGTTTTGTCCACCAAGATTTCCCAAATGTCACATTTATTGCAGCTTTAACTTCCTTCCAAACTAATAAACAGACAAGCAGTCACTTAATATATTTTCAATTTTATGTTTATGTGTCTGTTAGCAAAATATTTCATGAATCACTGGGTAAAATCCATTAAAACTTTCAGGAAGTAATCACAGGATCAATGACTTCAGTTGATTGACATTTGGAGTGAGCTGAATTCAAAATGGCCGCTACAGCCAACTAACCTTAGAAAACACAAAAATGGCTATGGTTCAGTCAGTTTTACAGATAATGAGTTACGATTTGTTGTGGTAGTAGATGAGACTAAATCTTAAAATATTTCCCGAGCACTAAGATACATGCCTGTTCTTTGTTTATAACTTAGCCAATAATGACTTGGAGTAAACTCTGTCTGTTAGCAAAATATTACAGGAACCTCTGAATGGAGTTTTATAAAACTTTCAGAAAATTATCTTTGGATATATCTCTACAACTGATCAACATTTGCAACCAATCTAATCCATTTTGGCAACCACTGCTTACTAATATTAGAAAACTCAAAACTGCATTGAATTTAGACAATTTTACAGTTATGGAGATAAAAATTGTCAGGTTTTAGCCAAGAGTCATTCACAACATATACTTCAAGTCCCACTCATTCAGCAAG